GTTTTGTTATACACCTTTAAATATTAAAAAATTATGTATGTTAAAATCACTTAATCAACCTATTCAATTATTTTATCCCGGGCGTTCAATCATTTTATCCCGCGCTTTGGCATGGGTTTAAAATCTAGTTTCTCTTTTAATAGTGGGGGAGATTGAACTGTTAATTACCTCACGCACTATACACTATGTATCTTTATTATATACAGGTTTGCAACAAGCAATTGAATTTCAAGTATAAGACGAATGAGTATAATCAAAGAATCTTTATATACAATCTCCCAGTGCTCAAACTATGCGATGGATGTCTTGTCCGTAACCCGTACAGTGGAAGAATCTGGTTTGGTCCTAACCGATGGGTTTCCAGTATCATCGAGGACCACGAAAGCCGTGTCACCGGGCTTGAAGCTCCCAGCAAGAAAGGCTTCGCTAAGTGGATCTTCCACAATCTCTGTGACGGTTCTACGGAGTGGCCGTGCACCGTACGCTGGATCATAGCCTTGTCTGCATATGAGCTCCTTTACGGCTTCAGACACCTCTAAACCAACTCCAAGTGCCACAAGCCTTGACTTCAAGTCTTGTAGCATCAGGTTCAAGATCTCCATCATCTGCAAAACCGAAATTTCACATAAACCAACAAATTAACCAGATGCTCTTTAATAGGAGTGGGCATACAGATTTTTTATTTATTTTGAGAAATGCATACCAAACTAGTACCAAAACTGTATCAGTTCAGATTGGTAATACATAATGAAAATGATATGTTTTTGCTATCGACATTTTTTTTTATATATACTACATATATAGTTTATTTGATTCTCAGATTAGGTTCGACGTAAAGTTAATTTTAATGTTTAGTTCAGTTTTAGTGTGGAGAATCTCGGTCCTACTTGGTTCAGTTTTATACAAATCCCTACTTTTCAAGGTTACGGGCAGAAAAAATCACTAACCTGAGCCTTCTCAAGCTGCCGGAAAATGACAATCTCATCTATCCGGTTCAACAACTCTGGACGGAAATAGTTCTTGAGTTCTTCGACTACCAAAGCTTTCATTCCGGCATAAGATGCTGCCTCTTCATCATCATCAAGGATAAAACCTATTGAGCCGTGTCTTCCCTTTGCAATGGCTGATGATCCGACATTAGAGGTCATTATGATCAGTGCGTTCTTAAAAGATACTCTCCTTCCCTGTAAACAAAGGTTCCAGAAACAGAGAGAATATAAACTTCAAAAACGTGGAGTGCGCAAGCAAATCAATCTATGCACAGACGTGTGTCAACTCTTTAATTTTCCTGAAGAAGCTAGAAAGCTCAGGCAGTGAATGTCTTAAAGTGTAAAATATAGGACATCGAACCTGTGAATCGGTTAGATGGCCATCTTCGAACAGCTGGAGAAGAATATTGAAGATATCCGGGTGGGCTTTCTCTATCTCATCGAACAAAACTACAGTAAAAGGACGTCTCCTGATAGCTTCAGTAAGCATCCCACCTTCTTCAAACCCAACATATCCAGGAGGAGAGCCTATCAATTTGCTCACAGTATGACGCTCCATGTACTCGCTCATGTCCAATCTCAGCATGGATTCCTCCTGTAATAACCAACGAAAAAACAGGGATGAACAAATCGGGTCAATGACCACACGTCATGTGTCAGCATTACATTGTTATCAAAGCTGTACCGATCCAAAATAATTTGCGGCCAGAGCTTTTGTAAGCTCTGTTTTTCCAACTCCAGTTGGTCCACAAAAAAGCATAGCCGCAATTGGACGGTCGGGATCTTTTAACCCAACCCGGGACCTCTTAACAGCTCTAGATATGGCAGCTACAGCCTCATCTTGACCAACAACTCTGCTTCTAAGCTGCTCTTCTAGACCCAAAAGAAGCATTCTTTCATCTGCAGTGACCTGTTGAACAGGAATTCCAGACCAAGCCGATGCAACGTTTGCAATATCATCAGGTCCCACCACTATAGGCCTGAAAGCACAATCAAACTAATGTCAAGGAGGTTCCTTCAATAGTCTTCTTAAAATAGGTTTCTTTTTAATTTCCTCAAGCCCTATATATATATAAAAGAAGGAAGTCATACTCATCGTCGCCTGCTGCAGGCGGCAGAGAAGACTCCTCAACTACTTCACCAGACTCAACTGCAATGGCATCACCATCATCATTCTTCTGCCTGCTTGACAGAACCTATTTGCAGAACAATTAACGAAGCCATTTAGAAGGTAATATGATCAAATCCAAATATACTGGTAGAAACAAAGTGTACTGATTTTTTTTACCACTTCATGCATGGCCTGAACAGTTCGGATCTCTTGCCAATAATCATCAGGTGGCTTCGAAAGGATACAGATTGCATCCTCCTTTTTCTTCCTAAAAGCTTCAATACGAGCTCTGCTTCCTGCCTCATCAATGAGATCGATAGCTTTATCTGGAAGAAATCTATCAGCGATGTATCGTGCTGAAAGGTATACCGCAGCATCTATGGCTTTCATAGTATATTTGCAATTGTGATGGGCTTCATATTTTTCACGTAAGCCCAACAAAATCTTCACTGCATCTTCCTACAATGTTGTTAAGATGAATATACTTAGATAAGAAGAAAGATGTTGATTGGTTAATAAGATAGAGAACACTGGCCCGAAAAGAAACCTCGCTTGGCTCGTCAATCAACACTGGCTGGAATCTCCTTGCTAGTGCTTTGTCCTTCTCAAACTGACTCCTAAATTCGTCAAGGGTTGTGGATGCAATGCACTGCAAATGATTGATTGGTGATCAGTAAAGCTACTTCTAGCACCATATATACCGAACAAATTTGCATTCATTTTCAAAATTGAGATATCCTTCCATAGGACTTTTGCTTATGTTATATTTCAAATGATCTACTTTGTCAAAAGCCGGATGTGGAAACATGATTTTGTTTCAGTTTCACTCAAATCTTTATGCATTACCCAAAGTGGTATACTTTCTCATATACAGACAACAATGATTCATATAGCATGTTTACCTGAAGTTCACCCCTTCCAAGCGATGGTTTTAAGAGGTTAGCAATGTCAAGCCCGGATCCCTTGTTTCCTCTTCCGACTGTGCCAGACCCAATTAGTGTGTGGACTTCATCTATAAAGAGAATGACTTTACCTATGAGAAACAAGAACAAAAAAGTGTTAGGAATGTGCCAAATTAATTTTACAATGTTCAATGTATTAATATTTGAGATCGTTTGACCATATATACATATATCTATAAATCTGAGATCAATAACCTGATTTTTTAATCTCGCTTATCAAAGCAGTGACCCGTGCCTCCAGTTCTCCCCTTTCTTTTGCACCGGCCATTAGTAGTCCTATATCCAGGGACATGATGCGTTTCGTCTACATATAGCAACAAGTAAGACTGGTCAGGTACATTGGTTGATCAACTTTTCAGATCAAATTTTCCCGTTGAATAGATGTGGATGCGTACCAAGAGAAAACCAGGAGCATTTGCTTCAGCAATACTAATTGCTAGTCCTTCAGCAATGGCGGTCTTCCCAACACCAGCTTCACCAAGAAGAATTGGGTTGTTTTTGGTTCTGCGGCAAAGTATCTGGATGACTCTTTGAACTTCTTTTTCCCTGCCAATAACAGGGTCAATAAGGCCCTCACTTGCACGTGCTGTAAGATCCACACAAAACTGTTCCAGTACATTTTTCGCTGGGGAAGACAAATTTGGTTAAACGTGTATCAGTAACTCTTTTCTCAACTCAGTATAACAACTAACAAGAATATATACTAGTATCTAAAACATTACCTTTCGTTTTTCCAGCATTTCCAGAACCAGCAATTCGACCATTGGTGGAAGCATCGAAGCTCCCCTTAGATGAAAGAGACGGTTCTCTGCCATCTTTGGCAAGTTCTGCTTTGAGTCTGGTGAGTGCTGCCGCTGTGAGCAGATTCATATTTGCTCCCAATCTATATCACATCAGTAAAAGCCAATCAGAAACAAAAGAAAAATCAAGCACCATATATATATTAATTCCGGCAACAGCATCTAACATGATTTCGCCTCTGTTAGATCAAATTTTATTTTGATATTTTTTCTAACATGATTGATTAAAGAGGAGCTTTACCTCTTGAGAACTCTACCGGCGCTACCGTCATCAGCGGTGAAGAGTCCGACGGCGATATGCTCCGGAGCAATATATTGACACTCCAAAGTCCTAGAGTACTCAACGGCAGCCTCGAAGACGCGCTTCGTACTGATAGAAAACGGCATATCTGTGGACTTGGAGTAGGAAGTAGACGAAGCTTTTTCCTGATTCGACAGATTTGAATCGGAATTAGCTTCGTCCCAGATACTCCAGACAGCTTCACGGGCCTTGTCTATGGTGATTCCGGATCCAAGGAACCCTTGAGGGTCACGATCTTCTGCGATCAACCCCAGGAGAAGGTGTTGAGTGTAGACCATGTCTTTCCCCAACGATTTGGCTTCCTTCTGGGAGAAGATTATAGCTCTGATCGCCCGTTCGGTGAACCGCTCGAAAACAGCCGAAATCGGAGTGAATTTCTTCCGTTTCCTCAGGGGAAATCGTCGGAAGTTGGCCGGACTTGTGGAGAAACGGTGGATCGTCCGGTTGGAGAGGGAGATTCCGAGATAGGAAGAAGCGAAAGAAGAAAGGGAAGAAGCGGCGAAGGAGGTAACGGAAGAAGAAGAGTCAAAACGGTGAGTGGAAGAAGAGGCGAGACGGCGAGAGTGAAGCGTAAGAGGCGAGGAAGTAGATAAAACCTCCATGATTGTCGTCGGCGAGAAAATCTCCGGTGATATTTTCCGAATGTGCCAAAATGATGAGAATTATTATTTTAGGGGAAAATGGAAAAAAAAGGAAGCAAAGAGGTAGAAGCAAAAGGAAGGGATGGAGTAAGATGACACGTCAAGGCAACGTTCTATTTAG